TGATACAATAGAAAATTTAATTAATTCTAAGTTTGAATATGATCTACCATTACACAAAAAACGGGTTGGGGAAAAAAAGTTGGAGGTAAGGACAAAAGAATTTTTAGGAATTTTTGTAGAGGAGCAAAGAAAGTTTTTGTTAATATTTTGGTCAATATTAGGCTGAAAGCCTCTGTTGAGAGCTTGTTTTGACCAGATGGAAGAGCTTGACAACTTATCTTAGTGCTAACAGATAAGTTGTAAAGATAGTTTTAAAGAAATAGTTAAAAGTTTAGATTCTAAAACCAAAAGAGGTTTTTGTAGCGTTATGCTACGAGTTTTTAAGATAGAAGCTTGAAACTCTTAAATTATATGTAAAATTAAGAGCTAAGCAAGTTTGCTTAAGAAGTTAAGAACAGTTATCTTAATAAAATATTGAGTTATTAAGGATTTTATACTGGTAAATTTTTAGTTAAATTTTGTGTAAGTGATTGATAGAAAGATTTTTTTTTAATATGCTAATATAATTAATAGTGTATATACACTATTTTTTTGCAAGACATTTTATTACTAAATTATGATGGCCTCTAAAAGAAAATCCACAAGTAAATTAATATTTTTAAATTTCTCTTATTTCTCTTAGTTCTTTATTAAGTATAATAAACAAAATTTTTTTTTTACAGAAAATACGAGAGAGAAAGTTCATAATACGCAAGCACTGCCTAGTAAGGCAACCTCCATTAGAAAAACAACTCCCGTCAAAGAAGCAACTTCCGTTAAGACACCAGCTTCTATTAGAAAAGCAGCTCCTGTTAGGAAAGCAGCTCCTGTTAGAAAAGCAGTTCCTGTTAGAAGAGTATTACCCATAAAACTCAGCATACTTCTATTAGTATGTTATTTTTTAATATACTCATTACAAGTAAGCATAAAAATAAATACATACTACTGATTTATAATACTTTTCTTGATATCACTAGATTTTGAGTCCGAAACAAATGACAAAGAACAAAGAATTGAAAACGTAATTGAAGAAATTATGGATGAGGAAGAGGATGATTTAAGAGAGGATAATTTAGGAGAAGATGGTTTAAAAGAAGATGGTTTAAGGGAGGATGTTTTAAGTGAGCATGGTTTAAGAGAAGATGTTTTAAGTAAGCATGGTTTAAGAGAGGATAATTTAGGAGAGGATAATTTAAGGGAGGATTATTTAAGAGATGATGATTTAGAAGAAGATAATAGTTATGCAGTGGTATCAGGTATGTATTAGATATGTGATTTAGATAATTTTTTAAATATAATCTAATGTTTTATATTTAATTCACACTTATTTAGTTGACAATTTCGATTTTCATAATGAGTTGGCATCAGAGAATTTTATATCTTTAAAATCTACAAACAGGGATCCTGCGACAATGCTATTCTCATATTCAAGGTCTATAGAAAAGAATGTAACAAGAAATATGCCATATACAGCCACAGCAAATTCGCACTCAAATAATGGTAAGAATTTTTTAAATATAAACCAATATTAGTATATATAAAATTTATATATCTTAATAGATAGTGATTTACCTCAAGAACCCTTTACAAAGCTCAAAAATGCATCAAACAAATTTGAAGTTGCCTCATGGGTAGCTTTTCATCTGAGGGTTCTAAATTTGGCTAATAATATCTTTAATGCAAGAAAAGCTGAAATCTTAGATGAAATGCACCCAAAGACCATTGATTCATACCAGATCATTCAGAGATTAGTAAGGTAAAACTTTATATATTTTAACAATTATTGTATATATAGATTTATAAATATATTTCATTTAATATTGCTAACTTTCTCAATTTTCTAACAATCATTTTCCTGACAGGTCATCTAACCTATATCGTACAGCATTATAATTTAGCATTTTATTAGTTGCGGTTATATGTTGTTAGTGAATTTCATGCAACGTGATGTCAGTTAAATGGCCTGTTGAGAGGATGACCTTCAGAAAATTCATGTAACATATTTCATTAGCATGCTAAGTTTTATCTTCAAGAAGAGTGCAAAGCGATGTTTCTTAGAACAAGAAATAACGCTCCAACACTGTATTGAGATTTGGTCATTAGAGTATGTAAAATTCAAAAATGTGACTATAGAATGTCTATGGTAGTCAAAGATATAAGAAATTGGTATAATGTATATCGGCACAACTTTAATGTGGCAATTTTAAATCTTGCAAATGATTTTTGAAAACCCACAGCTGGTAATTATTACTTTAGTACACATTATCTGAAATTGTAACAAATTAATAATAATTTAGTAAAGAGATTATTATTAATTAAATTTTAGAGAAGAAGAGCCTTTAATGGATGAAATACACGAGTTTATAAATGAAAGTATATAGAAAGAATTTTACAATTGCACCTAAATGCTACCGACTTGCCAGAATTAAATAAACAACCAGAAATAGGTATAAAGCTTGGAGCCTTTGTGCATCAAACAGTTAGAAATGTTATAATTGCAAAGCAACGCGATCAAGATACTAGGAAAGTGATTAGGAAGTGTGATGAGATCACTTTAGATTTAAAAATTCCAACTAAATATGGAATAATGAAAGATTTTCCAGTAAGAGAGTTTTTAAGTTTATAAACAAAGCATGTGCTTTTTTTTTGTAAGTAGGTTATATAGAATATTTGCTAGCAATATATTAGTAATGACAAGAAATAATCAGTAAAATCCAACTATTCATATAACAAGATTTGTTGTCTAGATAGTTCTTAAACAATGCAAAAGCATAGCTTGATTTTTTTCTATGATTGTTCCAGCACTTGTTAATGAGTTATTAAGCATTGAACATTTTCTTTTCATTTTGTTTTATTTTATTTTATTTTTTTTATCAATTTTGTATCTTTTTTTTCATTCTTTTGTTTACGATATGAGTGGGAAAATCTAACTAAAACTTTAAAACTATTATCAAATTGTCTCAGGAAGAAATATATGTATTAAGATGAGATGAATTTGGGGCTTCGATTTAAGCCTAGAGTATATGACGGGTTCGCTATGTAAGTCACAAATGCCTTATAATGCTAATAACATGGTAATATTCAATCATAAGGTTGACTAATAATCAATTTATTAAAAAAGGAGAGAATCTTTTATTAAAGTCAATATTGAACATTTCGTAATACTTTAATTAAAAGGTAAACTTCGATAACTTCGATTCCTCATACATTTATACAATAAAAATTATAAAATTAATTAGATTTTGATAATTTTTTTGATCCACTGAATAAGTTATAGCATCGAACCCTCTTAATATCAATTTATTGATGTTTTTGACATGCCTGTAGAAATGGTTAAAGTTTATGGTATGCATTAAGGATTGGAAATATATTGATCATTAGTATTTCTAATGATTGTGTGCGAAATTATTACTGACCACATATTATGAAGGTAAAATCGTGCAAGTATCCTTTAAGCATAATAAATAGAATTGCTATAACATACATCACTGTTTAAAAAGTCAATACACTACAACAATCTGTAATCAAAGGTATATCACAAACAGTATAGCACTCAATGGCTCAAGTTCACACATTTATATTGTGCTATACTATAACACATACCCTTTTTCGAAACCAATGTTTGATTGTACTGCACTAAGATAAACTATTTTTGTATTCATTATTAAGCAATTCTTAGTTGTGATCGCAAAAATAAATAAATAAATAAATTGTATGATTCTCTATTCAATAGTAAAGTTTTTCTTTGATTTTTTTGTTCTAATCAAAACATTCTATTATCATTAAACTTTGGCTAGCAGAAATCTAAAATATGGGTGTGTTAAAATTTTTTTGTACT